TCAGCACAGAGTGTGTTAATTGTTAATTGGGTAGTTCAACCCACAAACTCCACTGACACACAGGCCTAAGTACGTTGCTCAGCGCTCCTCTTAGGTTGCATCCTTCTCCATTATTTTCTTGTGCATCTTATTATTTTCTATTTGCAGAGTGTGTACCAGGTTAATTAGCGAGGCTTAACTAACCAATGGAATATCTCATCGTTCTCCTTGTTAACTCCACTAATTAGATTGTAACAGACCTGGTGTGGTGTCAAAGTGAGACTTACTGCCCAGAGCCAAGTCCCAGATTTGACCAATCAGATTCTCTGCTTACTGTGCACATGTTTATTACTTGTTGACTTCACATGGGTTTTCTCCGACTTTCAGCCTTCTTTACTGAGAGGCCAATTTAAAGATAAACCTCAGTGATCCTCCCATTGGTTTTTATCAATGTTAATATTCTATATTTAACCATGGTCATTAAAAAAAATCAAATTCACAGACAGCACGTGTTGCACCATGGTTTTCTGCAGTGTCAGCGGACGTCAGAAAGTCACGAGGTTAATGATACAAATTTGATCTTTGTTCCAGAGATGGAAATACGATCCTTGTCTTTTCAGCAAGGCTGCTGACAAATAGAGTGACAAACGCTGATGGAAACACAACCTTCTTGGCAGTGTTAATGAATACAGGGCTATATTGTAATAAATGAATCAGGAAACTTTTAATGGATCCTCTGGCAGTGAGCCACAGACACCCTGGTGAAGAACGTCTGCACTGCAGTATTCAATCTGTTGCTTTTTTCTCCTGTGATTGTTGCTTAGCACTGTCACCAACAGAAATGGAGTTGATTCTAGTTGGACCTGGTTGTTCTATCATCCAGGGATGTGGGTTTAACGCCACTTGTCATGCATCTGCACCATTGATATATAAGTGTGTAAAAAAAAACCCTGAACTGTACAAAAGTGCTGTAAACATACAAACCATTTTCCATTTAAGACGAAGACCTCAAGAATTTATTCAGCCACATGCTGGATGAATCAGTCACTGCTGTTCTGGGTAAACCCATTCTGGGAGAACTGAGAAGATTAATCCGGAATTGCAGCTCCATTCTCTGTATCCGTCCCACTGTTGTCATCCCAACACTGCGGCCCCATTCATGGCGACTCAGAGGCTGATACAATTAGCATCTGTTTTGATTTTAACACTCTGGGTCGAAAATATGTGTGTACATGCACAGCATGTGTTATGGGCCTACGGTGTGAGTGTGAGTGTGTGTGTGTGTGTGTGTGTGTGTGTGTGTGTGTTGACAGATCAGCGGCAGCTCTCTCACCTCCTCTGTTGCTCAGTACTGAGTAGTAATTGGGCAGGTAGTGATGGATGTGGCACAGTGGGTCCTGCTGATGTCAAACAGTGACATATGATGAAGGGCTCTTCTCCATACGGAGTCTCCACTGAATGTAAATTCTCCCACTGTCCAGCATTAACGTGCAGTAGTACTGGGCTGTGACCTGGACCACTGGATGCTCAACTTACACTTGTCTCAGACTTGTCTCAGATTTTCGTACTCTGACTCATAATTTGTCTTTAACACTTGAGTTCAACCTTCAGTAACTCAGTGTGGAATGCATTTAATTAACTCCCCACCTATAATAAGGTGTTTGTGCCGTGTGTGAAGACGTGTGCAGGCTTTTTGTGTGACACATCTGTCCTTAACAGCACCGCCTGACTTCCCCTTGACACATCCAGGGTTGACGACACAATTTCAGCTCTTTTTTGTCGCTCTCCTGCAGCCTTGTTTTTGTTGGATTAGAAAAAACTCCATGCTTATACCAAGAATAAAGCAGAAATATAAAAAAGTAAAAAAAAGTAAGAAAAAACTCCTCCCGGTGACTGATAAGGGGGCAGAACACTTTAAGGAGCTGTAATTGCAAAGTCAGTTCACTGCATCCTTTCACAGTCCAAATAATCATTTCAGTGAAGTTAATCTCCATCTCCTTGCCTGCGGCGGTGACAAAACGCTGATCCGATGTGGAGTTTCTAAAGCAAGCAGTTCATTTAGCGCATGGCTGCTCCTGCCCTTTTAGCACCCCAGCAGGGCCTTGTCCTCAGCCTCCCTGCCCTCCTCTTCTCTTTCTCCTCCTACTTCTGTTCCTCCTCCTTTCTGCTGTGACACACAGCAGCAGGGCCGGTATGATCAAGGCAGTGGCATTTTTATGTATGGGCGTCAGTGTGCTTTATCGGCGTGTACATACGTATGCGTGTTGGTGATCTATGTGTGTAGCGTGTCATTGAGAGGAAAAGACAGGGTAACTCTTTATGTCGATCAGACCTGCGTTGGTGTGACCTATTTTCCCACAACAGTGGGAGTGTCGGACTGGACGTGGTGCTGCCGAAGTGGGACAGCTTTGTGTTGATGTGCTCTCTGACAGTCACTAATGAATTAGTACATTTTATATGTAATAAAAATGGTGTTAAAAGCACATATTCATAAAGTAGTTGCTAAAATAAACATACAAAAAAGACAGACAAAAAAAAAAAAGAGTGGCAGCCATCGACTGAAAATTCTCAGAGCCAATAAAAATAATAAATCTTTTAATGACTACTTCACTTGCACCATGGAACGTTTCCTGTCTTGTGAGTTTGCAGATTTTAACAGGGTTTTTTTTTTCAAATCTTTAAATCATTATTTAACATGGTACAAGGCCCAGATCAATAATTATTTTTTTTACAAGCAATATATACATACAGTGGTTTTCCCCTGAGTCCCTGCTCTCTCTCTACATTAGTTCACTGTTCAGAGAACCATAATGTTAAACTTAGCTTGAAACATTTTCTTTTTCCCAACCTGAGCTTTGTTGTTGTGTAACAAAGTTTCCAACGTTTGTTGCTGAATATTTGATGATTGTGGGTTTGGCTTTGTAAAAAAAATGAAACAACTCTCATCTACACTAGTGTTGGTAAAGGAGAATTCTTTCTCAGACTGATGGCCACTGAAAGATTTGTTGATGACGTGGCTGAGTTGTTGCTGCATAGTTTGCTGCTGTATAAAGAAATCCAGGGTTTCACAGATGTTTTACTGTCTGATGTTCGCCTGTGTGCAAACTGCCACGAGTAGAAATGGACTTGATGTGTTTTTTTAGTTTTCTTTTTCTGCCTGGAGTTTGTGCGTCACCAGAGCTTCTCAGATATAGACACTCTCACAGACACAAATGATGCTCCACGCTCGTCCTTGACACCACTCACTATAAAAAGAGGTATAATTGCCTCCCCTCCCTTGTGGCTATGTAATGATGGACATACAGTAATGGTGCATTTATGTTCTCCTTACATTTGGAAAGAATCAGGGACTGGATTCTTAATGAATTCTGTCCTTAAAGTGTGAAACAGTGACATTTTAATAACCTAAACTACAGGTCAGTCTGTAGTTTTTGAAATAATAATAACTAATAATAACAATAATTAATAACTAGAACTGTCAAGCAATTACAATATTTAATAAGATTAATCACACGGTAGCTGTGTATGTCTTGATTAGTTATGATTCATCTTCATTAATCACGATCAATTCAATGAATCGATCCTTAATTCAATTGATTCTGATTAATTAAAAAAAAAAAACGTTCCTAAATATGACATTACTGCCACTTACTGAGGTTGTGTGACTATGTTCAGCCAGACAAATTGATTCTGATTAATTAACAGTCACGTGTGAAAAAATGATTTATTTCTGGAGCTCACTCTATAATATGTGTGGGCACAAAAATAAATAAGTCCAATCCACAGACAGTCACGTGTGAAAAAATGATTTATTTCTGGAGCTCACTCTATAATATGTGTGGGCACAGTTTGTTTGTGTAAAAAAAAAAAAATCCCATTCTGGCTCGGCTGATGGCAAGGCCTGTTATCACACTGACTGAATGAGGAGCGTTTGTGAATGGAGTTGTGTGTATTTACAGCCCGTGAGAGCAGAACAGAGAGTTTACAGCTTTTTTTTTCTCCTTCTTCCACGTAGCTGAAAATGTGACAAAAGCTATCTTTCACACGTGTGTGTTTGTGCTTGTTCGTGTGCTCTTGTGAATTACACATCTCTGGTTCTAATCATTGCTGAGAGTAATTATATAAAGAACCTAAAACACATTTTTTGGTACAAAGGGACAACTCTTCAGTTTTAGACAAATTAACCAAAGATGGTTTTTTCTAAGGCGGTCAGCTGTATTTGTTACAGTTACAAATACAGGAGAGATTGTTTCTGTGTAAGGTGTGAGGATGATGACAGTTCTGGTTGTATGCGACCCTGCGCTTCATTCATTGATGCTCTGAGCTGAGGTGGAGCTCTGTCAACACAGGTTTTGGACCAATCATAGAAAGGCACGTGATTGTCCGAGCTTCTGAGTCATCACTCCTTACGCCACTGCCACTGTTCACCCATCTTATTGGGTCTCTGCAGTTAATGGACCTTGACCTTCTGTCCGTCTCCTCATCTGTCTCTGTGTCCCTCTAACCCCCTATTTTTCCCCGTTTTTACATTATTTTCTCCGTCATGGCTTTATTTTGACTGTGCAGTAACTTTTCTGTGTAACAGAACTTCACCCACACTGGGTGCCATCGTGATTACCATGCAACGTCTTTTCCATTTGTTCCACAAACACCCTGCAGGATGCCAGTATCATATTTATATTATATTTTTAGTCTCCTATTTTCAACTGTGGGTTTTGTATTTTTGCACTGTGGGCTGTGGGTCTTTTTTTTCTCCTACTTTGTATTGTGGGTATCTTTTTTTCTCTCGTTTTTGTGTTATGTTTTTAGTAACTTTTTTTTTCTTAATTTTAACTTTTAAATGTTTTAAAGCCCCTTAAACAGTGTGACAGTGAGCTTGGATCCTTGGATCCATTGTCACATGCCATTGCAGTTAGTTCAACAATTGCTATAAGTTAGCAAAACTTTAGTTTAAAAAAAGAAATCATTATTAAATTGTTATAAAAATCCCTAAGTTTCTCCATCCGTTCCTCTTCCTCCAGGGTTGTGTCAGCCTCGGCCTCCTGAGCAGCAGACGCCGTGCTTCCTCCTCTTCTTCCGTCTGTTCAGCAGCAGTTATTCACAGTGGCGAGGCCAAGAAAAATGGGGCGGAAACTGGACCTGTCGGGCCTGACGGACGATGAAGCAGAGCACGTCCTGAAAGTGGTTCAACGGGACATGAAGCTGCGAAAGAAGGAGGAAGACAGGCTGAGGTATGTCGGGTTAATTCAGACAGAACTATCCCTGGTCTCTGTGTCTCTCACCTGAGACACGTAGTCAGTACTTTTACCTGCAGCTTGACTCCTTCTGTTTACTTGTCTTTGCTGTTTATTCTAGCCACTAATTTAAAAGTGATTGTTGTGACATTTCCACTGATTGATGCTGACATTTTAGTGCCACGTCGCTCGCGTTTGTGTTTATCTACAGCTTTGATGATTTTAGAGTTGTTATTGCAGCTCAATGGCTGTCAATTAGTATTATTTCTCTTTGGTTTTGTGTTTTTTTTGTCTCGAGTTTGATGTGGAAATGAAAAACCAGGTTACATTTCTGTTTACGGGAAAATAGTGTAACAGGAACACAAGTAAAACTTATCAATAAGGTGGTACTATCAAATAAATGTAAAATACAACGTTGGACTGATCAACAAAATTTAACTTTCTGAAATGAAAGGTTAAGTATAAAATCTTCAAGTAAATACCCCTCTCCCCAAAACCTGTTTTTTAAAAACTTCTCCAGGTGGTGTTTCAATCAGCGAAACCTTCTTTCCTGTTCAAGTCTGGGCAATATTTCTCACAATCTCTTTCCTGTTCAAGTCTGGGCAATATTTTTCACACCAGGTCACAATCTGCTATTTGACCTGTCTGAAGTCATGTCCCCATTGGAGGATGACCCAGGTTCCCGGGACATGTTGGTTCTTTGATTTCCATGTGCAAAAATAAATACGACACAATCAGATTCTTTCTGTATAAAGAAGACAGTCACATTTGTTGAGGCTGTAGCTCCAGGAGAAAAGTACGGAGTTTCAAACAGTTGATCAGGTGACGACTGAAGCAATAGGAAGCTATTGATGAGCCAGAAAAAGAAGAGAGTAAGATAACATGTGCCATACCATAAGTACCAGCTGATGGAACAGGAGTCAGCTTCTGGTATAGATCATAACACTGTAGCCTATCAAGAGAGAGTCTTTAAGAATGATGTAGCATTGTGTAGGATAATTGATATAAACAGTCACATATTTTATGACTGATTTTTTTAATGGCTAAATTGTTAGCCTGAGTCCTGGTTAGCAGCCCAATGTCAAGTGAAGTTGAGGCTTAAAGACTAGTCTCTGGTTCCAGCTCTGACTATGTTTCAGTTTCATTCTCACACACACTGGAAAATAAATCCCTACTACCCCTCGGTGTCAGTCTGTGGTCTGATGGGACAAGTATGGTTCTTATAAACCAATGTTAGTGTGTTAGTGTTTGACCCTCAACTCTGTGGTCGGATCAGTTAACGTACAGCATCCATCCAAACAGGAAAACAGGGCGAAGGTCACATAGTTCAACGGTGCCAACAAATACTTTTGACCTATAATTTTGTCAACACAAATATGCTGCTCTGGGTATTTACCAAACCCTAATAAAAGCTCCTTTGTTGTGGAGTTGGACTTCATTGGGATTTTTTCACAGTGATTTGTAGCGGGTTTGTCTTTTTGACTGGACGCCCTGAGTAATAAGGCTTCTTCCCTTGAAGCTCCAGACATCTGAGGACCAAAACAAGGTTACATCACCAAACCAGAGAGCAGCCATAGGCCCGCGAGGCACGGAACGTATTTCACCCAAATCAGTTGCAAATCAGAGCGTGGTGTGTTTTCCCAAATTACTGGGCTGTAAAATCGTCTCCCACCAAGCTGTTAGCAGTGATCAAAAATAAACGTCTGCCTCTCAGGCTGTTATTACTGCTGTTTACTACAGAGAGATGGGTAGATTGATGCAAATCTAATCACAGGCAAATATTTATTAGATTACAGCAATCTTCTTCTTCTTTGTTTGTTTGCAGTTTCCAGAGCAGATATCAGATGCAAATAGATTGTTTCAACAGTTTCAAATACAATTTCACTGTTTTCTTTTTCTTTCTTTTTTTCAAATATTGATATCTCCATATTTTGTGACATCATAAATTAATTTAATAATATTTAGATTTGATATTACATAAATGGGATAGTAATGTTTTTTTCTTTTCACAAAAAATAAATAAATTGAGAGCAAATTGCTCTACCAGCTTAGTTATATAATATATAAAAAGGTACAGTAATATGATTGAAAACAGCCTTCTGCCTTTCATATAGAAGGTAAAGTAACAGCCACTGGTGTGTGAATAGGAATATGAAATGTTGTTTACAGCAGATGAAGGCTGAGTGTGTCAGCCAGAGCTGTCGGCCCCTGAGCTTTTTTTCATCCATGCGTTGCTGACATTTGTTTCCAGCATTGAATGGACTCAGCTCTGCAGAGTTGTAAATTACCATATTGAAGGATTCATGGGATAATTTATAAGCCTCGCTTGGCACTTTTTAATAGGCCATTATAATTGTCCCCAAGCTGAATAATAATAAAAAATGTTGAATCACTTAAGTGATGTAACCCTTCGTTTTTAAATACCTGGCTGTCATAAAAGTCTTAATAAAATCAAGCTCGTTAGCTTCCTTGATCACATACTGCACTTAAAAAAATAATAAAAAACCCCCCACAAAAGTTATAATGTGATCACCTGCAGGTTCTTGTCAGCACTTTAGTTGTTATTCCAACTTGTGACATGCTGAATGAAGTATTAATTAGAAAGACACGACCCAACATACAAGCTGTGATTTATGGCTAACAGTCTGAATATCCCTGTGCAATTTTCTTGCTTTTGCTCTGGTTCATACGATGAGGACGTACTGTAGTCAAAGCACCACCAGTACCAGCACATGTTCAAAGGCCTGTTTCTGTTGCTTTCAACACAAATAGATATGATCAGTATTCATTCCCAGACTCTGTGGCAGATGCAGGTTTTTATTGTCTGCCTCTTTTATTGGCAGCAGTGTAAACATGACACCCGATGAATGGCATCATTTCTCCATTTATTACCTTATTTCAGCATTCTGTCCGCAGGGTCGCCGCTCATTTAAATCTCTTCCAGCATGATGAAAAGATGCTCTCATGACATGGAGAAAAAAAAATCGCTGTAACCGTATGTAAACAGCCAGCAGAAAACACAACCCTTCGTCTGAGAGATTACTCATGTGAGTCAAACCGACCAATGAAAATGAAAAGAAAAAGAAGTGGAAACTTCAGAAATCGAATTGTTTGTGTCGGTGTAACTGAGTTCCACAACTTTCCATGCAGCACTTGAACAAAGTGGTGCCCCACTTTTGAAACCCTAGTGGGTAACTTACAGTACAGGTTACTGGCTAAGCCCAGACTAATTATAGCCTGCAGTAAGTTTGGAAAGCCTTACAGCTGAGAGCTATAGGTGATGGCCACTGAAGATAGAAGAAAGGTACAGTTACTAAGGGAGTGAAGCGAAAAAAAAATGAATATGTCCAGACAGACTTTCTATCACAACATTCTTGCGGCAAATATTCCACAAGAATAGACAAAAATGAACGTCAATAGTTAATATTACACTGTTTTCTTGTTAGCTTATGCTTTGCTAGTCTGTCCAGAGTGGAAGATAATTCAATACCAGGACAAAAGGCTGAATAAAACCCTCTAAAATCCAAAGAGACTTAAACCACTCCTAAAAATATTTGACAATAAAGGAAATAATACAGTATGCTGATGACACAACGCTTAATTGTAAAGCTGAATGATTTTTTTGTATAAGAAATTAGATGATTTGAAGGAAATCCATTTGTCCGTATTATTAATTCTACTCTCTGTTCTAATTAATTTGCATACATTATTTAAAAACACATATATATATAATTAATTAATCATTACCTTCAATAAATACATCATTGTCTTTGAGCACATAATGGATACAAGTTTTTCCATTTCTGCTGCCTGCCGTAGCCTTCTGTCAGGATTATGAAGGCGTTTACAGACTGACCTTGACTTTTTAGAAGTGACCTTCTTATATTATAGAGCCATAGAAAAAAAAGATGGGTTTAAACAATAAAAAATGAATGATGCGTAAACCTGATGTAGTTACTGTGGAGTGGTGCACCTGTGTCTGCAGACTTACTGTCATGGCTCATTGAGACACTGAAAAAGAACATTGCTGCTTTAATGTCAACACCTGTTTGTTACGTACAATGACAAGTCAGTGTGACTTGAATAAGAAGCTGCAGACTTTGGAGATGCTGGTGGACTGATGATTCAAAACAGACGGAATAAAGTCAACTGTACAGTTCACTGACAGTGGTATAATGCCAATGTTCCCAACTCCTTTTAACTAATTACAGTAGTTTATTGGCAAATCAGCAAAACAGTAAAAGGCAACAAAAAAATGATCAAATGATTCTTGTCATTATCTGTGAGTTTTGTGACATGAGTACCAATAATTCTGGGCTTATAGCGTAGTACCAGGTTTGTTGCGTCATGTGACCAAGGGCATCAAGTTAAAAAGCTGTGTCAAATACTGCATGACTGCTGTACGGCTGTGGCCGAGGCCCTGGATGGAGGAACAAGCCTGATTTGAAGAGAGAAAGTGATTCTTTCCTTTCTTTCCTGTCTTTCTGTTACAGTTTTGAAGGCTTCCCCCCCAAAGATCTTAACTCTGTGTAACTGTTCAACTTTTTTGCCGAAAGAAAAAGAATCCAGAGCATGTTCTGTCTGCACCTGCTCTGTTTGCTTTGCTTCTAAAGTGTAAGAGTGTGATTTAGCCAATTAGAGGAGGTGAGCAGCTTCACCTCCGGCCTCCTCTGTCTCAGTAGCCATCCAGCTGGAGAGGCTCATTATGGAGCAGCGGGAAGCTCAGGGGAGCGCCAGCGTGGGCCTACTTAACAAACAGCTCTCCTGAGGGAGACAGACTGGGAAATGATTATGGGTAGAAATAGCTATTCACCTGTATCTCTGTGTGAGCACTGACAAGATGGCTGGAGCTGCAGCTACGAGTGACTCTCGTGGCTTAGTTGTAATTTTCCTTTCCCGTATTAAGAAGGATCCACTTTACACCTGAGTCTGGCAGGTCCTTGTAGAGAAAAGCCAATTACTGTACCTGTAATGTTTAACCAAAACTCATTTCATTC